GAGAGTTCTTCTTCTTCCTCTTCTAAGTCCACCATCTCTTCTTCCCCTCTCACCACCTGACTTCTCAGTATCAGCGGACTACTACAGAGAGAGAGAGAGAGTTGTGACTTGAGACTTGACGACACTGGATCCAGACCCGACATTGGGATTCAGACATTTTGACGAGGGACTATTTGGGCTTGTGCCGAAGACTTGGTGTTGACGACATTCCCATCTTCCCCTCTTCTTCGTCTAACCCCCCCTCTTCTTCGTCTGTGTATGGTTGGGGCTGGCGCATTCTTCCTGTGTGAGCGCCAGACCCCTTCACACCAKGGAATGATGATGATGATGTATGTTCGGGGCTGCATTGCAAAATTGATTGTTCGGATCATTGGTAGCTAAGTCTTCCGCTACGCTATCTTGTACTTTGTATTGAGAGGTCGGTTCTTGTTCTGGTCTGCACCGTTACAGTATGCAACAGATGGAGTGGCCACCTACACACAGCATCATGTTACCTAGTCACTTTTGGTAGGCATAGCACCGCATCTTTTGGTCAGGTGGGACAGGGCCTGCGCAGTCAATCCCTGGTAATACGGGCAATCAATGCTGGCAGGAGACAGTGTGGAAATCAGCTCTGAAGATGGTCTGACGATGTTCGGTGGCACGCTGGACCCGTTTTCCAGCAGGTGCTGCTTCCCACCAATAGATTGGAGCAACCAGGCGGCCCGCTAGGAGGGGATGCTCATATCACTCCCCCTAGCGTGGTCGCAGGGGTTTAAAAAAAAAAAAAAAAAAAAAAGCAAAGAAAAAAGCATCTGCTCGTCAGCAATTAGGGGTGAGGGACATTGGCTCTACCAAAGCTGCTTACAGTGCTCAGAACACTCAACCATGTCACTTGCCCTTCACAGCAGCTTGCTCTGGGCACCCAGTGCCCAGGTGAACTTACATAATTTCCAAAATTGTTACAAGGAGGCGTATGTTGAGAAGCGAGTTAACTTTATGGATTGGCAAATAACTTTCTAGAGTAGCAATCAAATGTGGTCATTGTGGTGTGATTAGCAAATAATAACTTTTTGGAGTAGCAATCAAATGTGGTGTGATTAGCTCTTCAAAACTATCGAGTGTGAAGCTGAGTTCGATTTGATGCAATGTGATCCTGACAATCAGCACTCACACCTGCCGTAACAAACTGCACTGTCATTGCAATCGTTCATATCCAGGGAATCTGTGCAACGTGGAACAGATCTGTCATTCATCATTTTATGCGCTTTTCTAGCCACACCAGCTGCACTAGGACAATCGCTCAATCATCCAAATTTCAATTTTCATTCAGGAGAAGCATATGATGCCTCTCGGTCACTTCCAGGTGGTCGGTCACCTCTGTCATTCAATAAGAAGTCTTCACCATCGACTAAAAGAGTGCACTAGCCTGGAAACTTTTGGGAAAGCGCTGGCAATCAACAACTCTGTTCTTGCCACACTATGGTACGTGGGAGCGATACATATGCCAAGCAGGCGGGTATCTTCTCAGCTGAGGAGAGCAACTCAGGCGTATTTAATATTTATGGACAGGGAGGGCGGTAACAGAGGATGGTATTAGCAGGGCGGCGTGGGTCAAACTGACCCAACCAAGACATGAGGGTGGCTTGGGAGTCCTGGACCCTAGGTTGCTGATGATCGCGCTGCAACTGAGAAACTTGGTCTGGGTGCTATTGCGTACAGTAGGAGAATCGTGGAGGAAGGTGACACAGCGGCATTTAGCCTTCAAACTAGTCCCGTCGGAGGTGGTCGACCAGCGCCAAGGTGATGGGCCACATTTGGAGAAACACGGTATGGTCCACTTCGCTGTCACTGTGGAAACTGAAGAAGATCCGACTGCAACGTAGGTGGCTAGAATCTCCGGATGCAGTCTTTAACCAGTTGCTATGCGATAACAGGTTCATGTACGACGTGGAGGGGGACCCGTATCCATGGCAGGGTAGGATGAATGCATTCGGGCGGCAATGGGTGGAGCGGGGGGTGTTCAAGATCGGGCATTTGTGGGATACTCAGCGAGGGGATTGCCGGACAGACGAAGAGATGGTGGGAGGCAGGTTAACAGGCTCCAGAGGCTGCGGGAACTACGAGAGGCCATCCTGGTCCAGTGGATCTAGCTGCTGAAGAAGAATGGCATGCAAGAAGGGGACTGGGTGAGGCGAAAGGGGGAGCTTAACCCGCGGATAATATACAGAACAGAAGGGCGGCTCAAGGGCTACAGGAGGCTGGGAGACAGGCAGCAAGAGAGTGGATGGCGAGGTCGAGTTATGAGGGCTTGGGTCACCCACTGACGGGGACTGATGAAGATGGAATACCCCGCAGATCCCAGGCTGACCCCTCGACCGAGGAAATAGTTTCGGTCTGCAAGGGGGGTAAGCGAAGTGAGAAGGTGTACCTCCCCTTCTGTCTCAACACCAGAAGACAGATGTTGCTGGATCATCAGAAATGGCACCTCCCCCCTCAAAACCACAACAAAAAGAAGTGCATACCATTCCAACAGATCACCACGAAGGCGATATATCGGTCACTACTGCCAAGCCTGGATATAGTCGAAGAGCTCAGAGGAAGATGGGCGAAAAGGGGACGGATCCCCCTGGTGCTAATCCACAAATGGACTCACTGGACGTGGTGGGAGCAGTGCGCAATCATGAAGGGCTTGTCTGATCAGAAACAGGCTGGACTCCTATGGCGGATATATCACCTAGCGGTCCCCACAACACAGTCACTAGCAATGAAGGCTCGATACAAAGAGGGGTGCTGCTCAGCCCCGGGATGTGGCAAGATTGAATCCATCCCCCACCTGTTTGTGCACTGCTTGGTGGTGGCTGATTTTTGGAGATGGTGGGCGTCAGCTATGCAGACGCCTTCACCATGGATAGCAAGAGAGGAAGACAGACAATGCTGTAATCCTATTTGGGACGTCGATGGTGGTGGGTAGGGTGGGGGGGACAAGCGGAATTTTTTTGCAGTTGAAGTGGTTAGGGCGGCGGTGTTCTGGGGGGCGATATGGACGCTCCGCAATGAATGAAGTCGTCAGGGCGAGGAGATTACAACACAAGGGATTAGAAACAAACAAAAAAAAAAAAGAAAAAAAAAAGAAAAGAAAAGAAACAGAGTGGTGGACAACCTGAGGGTGATAATGCTCACGGGCCCACAGAGGCACAAGCGGAAGTCGTGGAACGACATTGGCAAATTTCGGAAAACCTGGGGGGAGTACCCGACCCTGGCGAAGAAGGACCCGTTGTTGGGCAGCTTTGTGTTGGGGAGTTTTTTTTTTTTTTTTTGAAAAGAAACCCTGTGTATTGTGTTGGGGACTCTACTACAAAAGTACGGCCCGGATTTGGATAAGTAGTGGGCAAGGAGCAAGGGCAGGGACCAACACTCTGATAGACTACAGTCACGGTCACAGTTTCTAGCTTGTAGTGTATTTTATGTAGGTGAGGCTAATAGCACGAGGCTCTTGCAACAACTGGTTAATTGATCGCACAAACCTTGAACAAAGAGGCTTGTTGCTCCCATGGTGCCAACGGTGTCAAAGTCTCTTCCCCTTCCACAAGAAGGCGGAAACCATTGAGCATGGTTTCATGCAACGCCCGATCGCTCAATTCACATGGCGATGGTGGGACCGTATATGGCGAAAAATGGAACCGGACATTCCCTGGCCCTGGATTTGGCAAGCCATTCTGACAGGACACTGGCCGTTAGCAAGAACAGCCACGACCTTCGTAGAGAACATGTACAGACTGGGAAGGAGAGCGGTAATATGGGCACTATGGTGGCAGCGATGTACCCTGGCTATGGAGAAGGTACGGGTGGAGGGGCCAGAGATCACTGAACAGATCCAGCAACAGATACACCTTGAACTTACACGCAAATGGTTGGACACAAAAGCACAATTGAACCTTTTCAGAACGATTGGAGACGAATTACAGCATTCTGCACAGACTGGGTAGGGGGAGACAGAGAAGGATGGATCACAAAAGTAGAATGGAGTGGTGACAGAGGTCTGCGGGACCTGGAAGAAATGAGAGACTACCGTTTAGTCTTTAAGGACTGGACAAACATAGAACCCTCGTTCCCATTACGCCCTTCCTCGGATTTCCCAGATCGCTTCCCACACCATGCCTTGTCCCTAGTAGAAGCCCTGTCCTGATTGTGAAAATCTGATGACCCGATCCGTTCTGTTCCTTCCTAGATCTGTGCCTATACGCGGGCCTCCTCCCTGGTGCCCCCTGGGGAGGACTCCGCCATCCTTTCTTTCCCTTCTGAAGGTTCAACGCCGGGAATCCCGCTAGTCCACACTACCTATGACAGCAGGTTTGGTGGGAGTAGCTAGTGAACAGTATCAGCTCTCACAAGTCTATCTGGCGCCCTTCTCTGAGGGTGAAGAGATACAGACGGCAAGGGTAGCACTCCAACGGAATGCTGTCAGGCCCCGACCATGGTCTTTAGATATCTGCTTTTTTCTTAAAAGGATAATGAGGTAGTGAGGCTTGGATAGCAGGACAGACAGGGCCGACTAGTGCCCTCCAGTCAGGGTTGAGGTTTGGGCATGTAGAATAATCTGGGCCTTTAGAGCTGGTTTCCAACACACTACCCCATGGAAAAAAGGGTTCCTTCACACAGGCCTGCTCAGTCAATCCCCTGGGGTGAAGGGCAATCAATGCTGGCAGGCCCCACAGTCTCAGTCCTCATCTTTTTCCTCATTTTTTTCAGACATTCTTCTTTTACTCTTATTTCTGTAAAAGGGACGCTGGCCCCATTTTCCAGCAGGTGATGCTCCCCACCAATAGATGGAGCCTCTCCCCAGGTGTTACTGGTGTCTGCTCTTATCAGCAGCACTAACACTGGTGGGTTAAAAAAAAAAAAAAAAAAAAAAAAAAAAAAAAAAAAAAAAAAAGCACGAGGCTCTTACGGTACGGAGTCTTACCCGCAGTTTCAAGATTATAGCATGGCACGAGGTAATGTTAGAACTTAGAAGGGGTGGGATAGGAATTGAGGTGTGAATAAATAACCAAAAAATGCTGGGAGATGTGGTTGTAAGGGGAAGCGAAAGGTTCATAAAAAGTATATTAGTACACAGTGCTACACACCAGGGCTCTTGAATGAATTGATTGTTGGATAGTTGGGTATAAATAGGGATTAGGAGGGGTTACATGTAAAGTTGTATGATAGGTTGGATCAGTGAGTACCGGAACCTTGAGTGGATTGGTAGCTAAGGGATGTTAGAACTGTATTATGAGATTGGGAACAGTCATAAAGGTGTTAGACCCAACTCCAGCGCGCGGCACATCATGGACTTTCCCCCACGGCCAATGCTGCTTAAGGGATAGGATAATAGTTATACATATAAGCTTCAGGGAGTTGGGGAACTGTTGCGAGGCCTGGTGATTGGAGGTGCATGCGTGGGACCTGGGCGCCAGCCCCCGACACACATAATGTGTGTCTGGGTGGGTACATAGGAGGTATGTTTCGCGATCATTACGTGTCCCCCGGGGCAGGATCAGCGGATGGCTCCCGCATAGCACACCCCCCGCAGCCCCCTCCGTAGAGTGCCTCGGGAAGCAGGGATATCAGACCTGTCTCTACTCTTATAAGTCTTCTTGCATTGGAACCTCCTGAACTTCACTTGCCGGTGGTAAGCAACCAGACTGCTGCTCCCCCCCCCCCCCCCCCCCCAACCCCAAAGAATAGAAGGGGCAGGCGTATGTTCTCCAGAAAAGAAAACAAAGAGCGCACTTTGTGAAATTTAGCTTCCCCAAATATCTGCGAATGGTGACAACAGAAGAGAAGACGCTGCTGTCGACTCCATTGCGGTTCGGACGAGCAGCTACATGACCTAAATCATACGGCAACCAATCAAGTGGTGATTTGCAGAATTCTTATGCTAGCAGAGCCGAACATACAATATGCCTCCAACAACCAAGCACACACACCGCTACCCGTCCCCCCCTTTTCAGCGGCCAAATGTCTTCCAGAAATACAATGGCATGCCGTTGTCCACTCGACGTCTTCTCTTTGCCCCCAACACCCAAGCACACACACCGATATCCCTCCCTCCCTTTTTTTTTTCTGCAGCCAAAAAGCTCTCAGAAATGCACTGAGTGAGGGACATGGTGTTTTTTTTTTGTTTTTTGTTTTCAATGAAAATCTTCTTTGAACCTTGAAGTTGTCCAAGTAAGGAAGTGGGATTGGGGCCGGCATTAATGTACTGATGAATCTTTGATGATGTGATTAGCTGTTTTTTTTTTTTTTTTTGGCTGTTTGTTCTTTTACATGATCCTAAGATAGCCAAAACTTGGCAAAAAGTTAAAAAAAAAAAAAACATGTTTCTTCGAACAACTTGGGTCCAATATCACATAGAAATAAAGCAGCACGCTGCAGGTCAACCATTCACAAGACAGCCACACCATCTCCTATGACTTACCAGTGATGCAAGTGTCAGGACGAATGAATTCCCCGAAACAGGGCCAGATTCATCAAGGTACGCAGTCAGCCAGGCTCCTTATAGAGAGACACCGCGTTCCCCTTACAGCAGAAAGACAACAAGTGTGCATTCCCTCAACCTAGATGTGTCTTCCGCAAAATGTGTCTTCGACTCTTCATGGCGTAGGAAGATAGTCCCCCTTTTTTTTTTTTTTTTTTTTTTTTTTTTTTTTAAGCAGGACCATCATCCCTTTTTTTTTTTCCAAAGGGGCCTTCCTCCTTAGTCACCCATCCTTGGACTACGGTTAGCTTCGGTGGTCACCCTCTGACAAGCTTTCTGTTCCATCTCGCGCGGCTTCACCACCTCGTAAGCGCTTGTAGTCCAATTTGCCGTCCTCCAAAAAAAAAAAAAAAAAAATGCCGTCCTCCATGTTGCCTCCTTTGCCCCAACGTCTTCCACCCAACGACGAACAATATTCCTTTTTCCAAAGGGGCCTTCCCTTCTGCAACTGCGTTCTGAATCACAAGCCTGCTGCTTCGCTCATTACATGTCATCGCCACCTCCTCCCATCATCCTTCGACCAGTGTTCGATTCCATCTCTTTTGCAATGCCTCTTCTTCTTTCCCCATCTCTCTGCAGTCTGAGTCTGCCTTTCATCGCTCGTTTCATTCAGTTTCACCACCCACCCTTTCAGAGGCTTTCCGTCTTGTAGCTGGCGTTCTGCTCCATGCCCCCCTCAACAGGGCACTCCACCCCTTGCTCCTTGGAGAACACGGATAGACGGGCGGAAGCCGTGCCCTGCTCTTCTCGGTACTACTTGTCACTTCGAGCAGCTTACGGCACACCAGCTGTGTCCTCTTCTGAGAAGATCTGTTTTACCAAGGACATCTTGGATCATGCATGCAAGTTGGCTTCTCCCTCTTGCAATTTCAAAAGTTCGAAACCGATTATAAAACAATCAGCGAGAAGGCAAAATGGATCATTTGCATGCCATAGTGTACAGCACCTGAAATTAAAAAAATAAATAAAAATAAATAAAAATAAATAAATAAATAAATAAATCTTCACGAACCATGGCATGAAGTGTATACAATACCCCCACTGAGATGCAACCTCCCTCAACGTGGCTGACGTCATCCTAGTATCCTACCTAGCCTAGCGTCCAGTCAGTTGATCGGCATTGCATGGCCCTGTCATCCTATTAACTACTCTTGCTACTCAGTCGAAATTGAAATTGATATTCCTGGGTGTGAGTGCACTATACACGAACTGGAGTCTGACGACAACAACATGCAACTCCATGGTGACTAAGTACAGAGTACAGACGGCAGACAACTGGCTCTGGCTCTGGCTCGCCTCCTCCCGCTGCTGCCGCTATTACTACCATCGACGAACGACAAGAATAAATATTAAATAGGTCAATCAATCACACAGTGACACAAGTGCAAACAACAAGACCTCTGAAAAGAAATGAATCTTAACGATTGGCAATAACACACAGCACAAGACGAAGGCGCACTCTATCTCCCCTTCCCTCTCCCCTCTCCTCCCGCTCCCCTCCTCCTCCCCCCCCCCCCCCCCCCCCCCCCCCCCCCCCCCCCCCCCCCCCCCCGCAACACACACACTCACACATTTTCCACATACACTGCCGCCTACTGAATTGTTCCCACCTCTCAGGTGAATCATCCAACTTCCAACTGTGGTGGGAAATCTGTCATGGCTTGACTGATCTCAAGCCTTACTTTCCTCCTCCCTGTTCCTTCCTTTCTTTCGCCGTTTGCTGAAATGAATAGAATTGAAGAATTCTGAATTCAACAATTGAAATAGTTTTGCTTTCCCCCCTTTCTTTAGGAGTCAGTCCATGGTGCAGTAAGAGTAGGTGAGGGAAGCAAGTAGGGAATCCATGATCAGTAAGGAATTGTAGAGGGAGGGCCTTTGGTGTCAGATATCAAGCTAACGGTCACCCAGTACCCATCTCTTTTCCCGCCAACCTCTTGGTTGAGTGTGAATGTGAAAGTGTCCTCCTCATTGGGCCGCGATCCACAAACCCAGACCCGCTGAGTAAAGCAATGCTCTTCAATCAAAAGCGAGCTGAGCACTCGCGACTCCAAGTGATTCAGAAGCACACGATAAGTAGAATGGTGAACGATTCTGCGGAATCTCTCAAACTGACCCAGATCCAGTCGACGCCCGAAGTAAGTGGACCTGGAAAAAGGATCAAAACCAGCAAATCTGTACAATACCTCTATCCCATGGTCCACATAAGGACGATTATTATTCTTGAGTGCAGCCAACTGAGCCCCGATCGAAGCACCGGCAGTGAGCTCAAGGCGAGGTTCTAGAAGGTTGCTTGAACGAGTCTGTGCCCAAGAAGAGGGCAGGAAATCTGGCACGTCCATTGACACTCTGGAGTTGGACTTCGTTACCTCCTTCTCCAATACATGTTGTTGAAGAACGTTTGTCCACCCGCTCCTGCTCCTGCTGGCGAAGAACGAGCTACGATGACACTCGTACTGTGTTGTTTCACTTGCCCCTGCCGCTGCCCTATGATTACCGGGGACTAAACTTTCTGCCCCCCCTCCTGCAGTGAAAGGGAGGCATGTCGGCAACAAGCCCCCCCCCCCCCCCATCTGGAGTTTTTTAGAGGCCCATGGCTCTGTGTGCATGTACTGCCGAGTCCACATCAGTGATGGCCTCCATGCTGATCCCATCGCGAAGGAGGATCCCGAGGACCTCTGATAACTAATCCTCTGTAGTTTGGAGGCTGTAACTGTAACTCCCCATGGCAGCCACGACCGAGACATGTCAGTTGTTGCATGGCCCGCACGTCCCGTTTGGCTACTACCCTCAGGCAAGACATTCCCTGTTTGCCTAGTACTGGCCTGACCGTGGCATGCCATGACTGATCTACCCACTGCCGCTGCGGTTCGACGCCATTGCGCAGCCACGATTGAAGGCAACGCCCCCGAGATATCATCCAGGACTTTTATGCTCAAACCTCTACCTCTGGGCTCCAGCGCAACACCAGCAGCAGCAGCAGCAGACGACAGGGAAGAAGCCATAGCCTTCTGCTACGTCCGTCCACCTCGGCAGCTGAGCACAGTACCAATTTTTTTGCAAAAGCCTGATGAAAAAAAGCACCTTTGAGTTAGACTCTTTTTTTTTTTTTTTTTTTTTTTTTTGCTTCAAACATGCTGTCAAGTTGGTTGAACACAAAAACCACTGACTGATCAAAGTACAACCCAGCAATAGAAGTGCCTTGCAAACTAGTAGTGAACACCAGCAACCATACAATGAATGGGGCGAGGAAAGATCCGAGTGGTAGAACGGCATGCAAAGCATAATTTCTCCATAGAGAACAGCATGGGAGAGACCATGACGTACATGTGAATGTAGATGTCAGCAGAAAAACAGCGGAAGAACTCAGTGACAAAAGCTCCAAGGTATTGATTGCATTGATGAGGAGTTGTGGCAGTTGTGTCCATCTGTGAACTAGTTATGGGAATCAACTTCAATCGAGTCATCATCGGCGAATCTGTGCAATTGTTGCCAAAATGTGCACTATTATGCCACTATATATATTATATTCCCACAGCACTGAAGGTCCACTTCTATATTGAAGCTGAACACACCTATCGGTCCTTGCAGCGAGGCTCATTTCGTTGCTGCGAAAGCAGAGTATTTGCATTGAAAAGAAAAGACCATCAGAGAGAACATACTGTACATGGGAATATGAATGTCAGCAGGAAAACAAGGGAACTGCATGGTAAAGGCTCCCATCAGAGAGAACATATACCCCTGAATCATCATGGCAATCAACCAATGGCTTGTGCTGCAGCTAAATCATCATCTGCACTCTGTGTAATAATTTTCAAAATGCGAAACCATAGATTTAAAGAGCCTCACGCACTGCAGCATCCAAGTCAAGAAGACAACCAAGGAAAAGAAAAAAAGAAAAAAGAATAAAGAGGGGGAGGATGAATCAGACAATGCCGAGGCTCACAAACACTAGATATGGACAAGGCAACCCACCAAAGACCAACTGGCATGCCAAGGGCCTCCAAATACTTTACTGGAATGTCAATGGTCTAGGGAATGTCTTAGCCGAGGAAGATAAAATCAGGGACATTCGGCTCGGTCTGATAGGAAAAGATCATCCCAAACCCGATGTGATACTACTTCCAGAGACCCACCTATCAAATCTTAACAACCACACCCGAATACATAAAACCCTGGAGAAGACGGTAGGTGGGTGCGCCTTCGCCCGATGGTCCAACAAAGAGGGTCTGAGTAAGAAAGGAACTGGAATTCTCATACCAAGGACATCCAAGATTTTGACTGAAGGGCAAATCTTGAACAGTGAGGGAAACAGTGAGGAGGGTAGATGGTCATGGTTAGACATAAGATGGCAAAACGAAGAGCTGAGAATCCTCAACCTGTACGCACCCCACGCAGAACCCGAACGACTGATTTTCTTTGAGAACATCAAACCTCTTATCCCCAACCCGCAACCGGTCATCATCGCAGGGGACTGGAACATGACTCTGGACCCCAGTATTACTGGGTCCCACAAGAGTGGGAACCCGAATACGGAATCTGATGACAGAATATGAACTCGTCGATCCGTTCAGGGCGCTGCATCCGGACAAAAAAACTTTCTCCCGGATCAGAAAGAACCAAGTCAATTGGACCTCATTGTCCAGGATTGATTACTTCCTGATCTCTGAGAGCCTGGAAGGTGCAATCAAGGAAGCCGAAATACATCCTTTGGCCGACAACTCCGAATTATGTGTTACGCGCACAGACAACAGACCAGAAGACATACCCCACTGCCTCTTGTACTGCACTGAAGCAGCCTGGATATGGAACAAAGCTCGCGACCTATGGTCCCTCCTCTTCTCATCACCCCCTTCCCTCACATCTCCTTAAAGCATCCTCCTTCTATCCAACAATACTAACAATCTCAAAGGCGACAAGGAAATCTGGTTTCATCTTCTCAGGAAGCTGGCTCTGTGGGTGATCTGGAAAAGGAGGTGTACCAAGACTATCGAGAGAACTGAGTGGCAAGGGAAGAAATGTGGGCCCTACTGTTGAGCACGACGGAAACTGAGAGTCGGTGCAGATGGAGGGAGGTTACATCAACAATGAAAGTCAGACCAAAAAGGCTAGCCACCAAGAGACGTTCTTTCATGAGAGACTGGCTCCTGTAGGGAAAGATCGCAACAGTGGCAGATAACAGATTGATCTCGAAAAAGTGGCACAACGAAACTCCAGCAAGGACGACGACCCAGCGATGGGCAAACTGAGACCATAGTCTCAACAATGCAAACAACTTTCCTCTTTTCTTGTTGCACACAAACTATTTGACAGAATCAAAATGGATTATGAGAGGAAAGCGGTAGGGTAACCTGACAGTCAATCCTCCTACATAAGAGCAATCAATGCTGGTCAGGGTTCCTTCGACCAGACGAAAGGAAGCGTGAAAGTGTTCACCATGTATTCCAATTCTCGACTTGGCGGTGGACAAGAACCGGACTGATGCTCCCCATTATGGATATGGAGCCAGGACCATTAGGACCTGTTTTTATTTAAAAAATAATAACTCCGACGAAACAGTTTGTCACAGCCCCTCGTTTGTTGTCCTCTTCTCTCTCTCTGCCTACGGTTTACCGGGCAGTTCTATTTGTGACGATATATATCGTCAAATAGAACTGCCCGGTAAACCGTAGGCAGAGAGGGAGAAGAGG